TGTGGCCCAAAAGCCTTCACCCAACAACCTTAGGAAAAAGACAAATGAGGAGGCAGAAAGAGAATCGGATACATGAACTCACATTTGAATATATAGTTTTGTAGGCAAAATTATGGAAAGCCAAACAACTACACATGAGCTTACCAACAGAAGGAAAACTTCAAATGCGACAAGCAAATTAGCAACCTTGTAATCAAGAGCGAATCATATGTATTCTTGAAAATATCAGCTTGCGACCCAAGCGTATAGTGAACATCCATTTACAGTGCAGACTACTGAGCACTCAGAATAAGGAAATGCAGCGTTTTAAACAAATGCCACGAACCAAACGAGCATAAGCAGTGCAGATACAAAAATTGAACAATAGTACAAAATTGTCTGCAAACTAAATATTCCTTTATCATAAGCAAATAGAAAAGTAATCAGAGAAAAACCAATAGAATGTGTTCTATCAAATAACACTGCTAAAGATAACACGATGGGCGTCCATTAACAATTACGTGTGTGTACTAATCGGACTAACACAGTGGGGATTTTAAACAAGATTCAAGAAGTATAAAATAGGACGAACGTAGAGTAGTTATTAAGTTCTTCAAAAAAATTAATTATCAAATATCTGTTCTCCTGCCAGGTATGACATGGCATATTGTAAATTATAACTTGGTATTATAATGGAAACACACATGAAGATAACTATTATTTAAATACGCTTGCTGTCGTAATACAGCTAGTCGGTTTAATTGAGGTCCTATGTAATACGCCAATTTGTATTTTTCTGAACAATAATTTTTAGGATCCTGCTATTACTCCAAAGTGTAGGTAAAGACATACTGCGGAATAATTACCGCACCAAAATTGACAGTATTTAGCATGATTGTTCTAGCAACAGAAAGCAAACATGCAAGCGTTAATTAGATTCGGAAGCTGCGGCTGTGTACCAGGACGTGGTGGGTTTTCGCCTGGCAAGCATCCTCCCCTACACAAAGCCAAAAATGTCCGCTTAACAACACTGCAACTTGGCGGATGTGACTCGCCACTGACTAAAGTAACTTCTGAACATATCAATAGGCGCAGTCATCTGACTACTACACACCACCGGTGCAACTGCATTTTTCTATAAAGAATGCTTTGTTGGATCACAGAACATTCGATTTTTTTAATGGTCTTTGCTTGCACAAATATATTATTTGGGCTCCTGAGCTCATGGATTACTACATGGCAAATCACATCTAATGTGAAACCTGGCCGCTTAAAGCAGCGGACCTGAAGAGGCTAGTTACGTTCGACCACCGGTGCCTTCGAAATTTAGCACACATCTGGTGGGAACACCTCGTAAGCAACGAGCGTGTTCGACACCTTGTTTATGGCACAGGAAAAGGAAATGAACCGCTCAGCAACGTGATTTCACTCACCAGGCTCCGATGGCTGGGCCACGTTTTGCGCATGCAACCCATCGACTTCCACGAGGTGCGTTGTTTGCTCACCGGGGATGTGGATGGAAGAAGAGGAGGGGTGGCCAAACGATGACTTGTTCGAGAGGAATGAAGGCCCTCACCTCTGAGCTGGCCTCGGTTGGAGAGTTTCGGCTCCCTGGTTGGGGTCCGAAAGACGATGAACACGTTTGGTTGGACACACTTGCTCATATGGCTAGGAGCCAACCTCAGTGGCGTTCGTGTTGTGAGATCCTTTGTCCCACCCCATCCTTCTTAGCCTCCCCCTCCAAACACGATCTCATTATTTAGCCTTATATAATTTCGCATAATAATTTTTTGGTGCACAGCAGCCGGCTGGTAGCTTTCCGGAACGATGCCCATCCGTTACCGGTAGCTCAGTCAGCTTGCACCAGTTGCATTTTTTCTCTTTTTTCTATGAATTGCGGCACAGTAGCTGAGGTGTTCCCCACCTCTAGCTAACGTGTATGAGGATGATTATGATGACGCCTAACGTGTATATTCACACAATAGTTATGGCTTATTTTTACGCGCCCCAGCGCCATCAGGTTTCTTGATCTGACTATTACCTGACAAAATGCTCACTCGTAGAGACTACATCTATTGTTTTACATTTCATTAGAACGAAATGTTTTATTATTTCAAAGAAGCTGTTGTATTCATATTTGATCGCGCATTCACAGGTGTGTCGCGTTTTAACGAGAATATACAAATTATTTCGTTAATTAATCATATGCCGTCTTTTAAAACCACGCATTTACTAGAGAAGCAGAAACGCGTTGTCGACAATCAGTCAAATTCCTATGTGGCAGAATTTATTACTTAAAATTTGCTGTTTTCACTTAATTGTTCCTAATCGTTAGGTGATAAAAATAAATCTATGTAACATTTAGCATCTAACGAGGTATCAATATTTATACATAAGCGACCGTACATTACAGCGCGGAGCTCGCTTTTAATGTAAAACACGTTTGTTATAGGAACGGAAGAAACTTAGCTAATGAATCTTTGTTTTTTTCGGGGTGAACTTTTCTATTCTATATGTTTTGCAAGCCAAAATGGATTAGAATTTTATAAATTATCCGTGTAATAGGAGAATTGGAGATCCAAAGCAGCAAAACACCAGGGCGGCATAAAGCTAATTCCTTACACAACTTGGAAAATCATGAAGCGCGAGTAATTGAACCAAATTTGGAGCATGAATTTTTGTCTCACTCAAAATCTTCGAGGCAATGGAAGGCCGCATACGTGTTACACGAGGAAACATTGCACCAACCCAGTCTACGTAGGAGTTGCTTAAGCTTGTGAGATCCGGTTTCCGCAGCATATAAACTTTATCCGAATATTTTGATAATGTTTGAAGCTTTAGCTTTTTGCTACTACATAAACCCTGGATATATTTGGTGTACTGGGTATATTTAGTTAAACCTAAAGTAATTGAATTGACAATGTAAACCAGCAGTGCTGCGTCTGTGTAATGCTAGGCAACTGATTTGAAATATACAATAATCAATATGGTCACCATAGCTTAATTAAAGTAGTTGCACTCCTAGTAAAAACAAAAGGTTTTGTGCTACATAACAAATAAATATTATTTCACCTACGTACAGCTTAAAAATAGTGTCTGTAGAAACATCACTATATTTATAAAAAGGTAGAGGTTTACTGTATGTGCCACAAGCCGTACGTTTGCTTGATTACTGTTAGAATTAACAGATACAATAAATGCATCTCTAATGAAAAGCCACTACGTGTAGATTTGCTTTGGAAATAAATTAACCGAATGATGCTGATTCTCAAGTCCTGCTACATAAAGATAACTGAGTTTGGCTTTGAATTGAAGGATTTGTCTCAGGTAACTGTCAGCAAATCTTTATTAATTTAACTTATCTGAGTAAGTTTACTGACCCTATTAAAAAACATACACGTTTTAGGGTTAGAACTAACAGAATTTGATAAGCTTTTAATGATAACAATTCTTAGATTTTGTTCATTTATAAATATTTTGCATTAATTTTTCACGGATTGTAATCTATAAATAAGGTAGGGCACTGTAAATTCCAAATGTTTCTTCTGCACTTTCTAACTATTAGTAGCCTTCATATGTTCAAAATTAATTAACGTCAGGTATATGAAGAACAGAGAACATCACCAGGTTTGGTCAACCCAGACAGAAAATCAAGGGTACGTAATGTCAACATTACGATTTTTCTAACTAAAGTCTACGCAATGCATTTGAGAAATACATTTACATACGTACAGTGAAGCGAAACTACACTTGTATGTTATACTTGGGTGTGTCATAGCAGGGCAATTTGATAGAATGATTCATTTGCTTATACACGCAATATACGAGCCACCATAATCGTATTCAATAATACCCAATGCAAGGCAGCATTTTTAAATTACTTTCGTTTATTAATGATTAAATTGCCTCGTTAGATACAAGTTAATATCAGTTATCACAACGCGCTATGCAATAGACAATGTGGTGTTCCGGCTCTACATCTCTCCTACCCCTTATGTTTTTACCATGATTTGACGTAACAACTTTGGGGAATATTATGCCACCCTTTGCGTTAGTAGCCGTTCGGTCCTGTCAGTATAGAATTCACCTCAGATGCTGGTGAACTGGCAAATGACATGAGAGACCAAACAAACCGACGAATTCTGCGGGACGTAATTGAGTTGAGGTCTACGTGTAGCGTGAGTGATTGATTGGCACGTGTTAGCATAGGCGCGCTTTAAGTAGACCTAAGTTGGTGAATAATTTCATCTTGTTTTAATGATAGAAATAAAGACATTTTCTACTTTTGTACTTGAAGGCTCTCGGTAGTGATTCTACCGTGTATCCATTGAACGAATCCAAAAGCAATTGATCATACAAAAACACAAAATGTTGGCTATCCCAGGAGACATAACTGATTGTGGTACATCAACGGTTTTTGTACGCAGAAAATTAACCGAATTAGTCTTTCAGTAACATCGAACCTATCTACCAAATTTCAAAATTAAAGCTGTGTTGCTTCCATTTTCGATAGTAATTTTTTTACACAAATATACTGCTTATGCGACTTAGGAGCAGGCTGAAATATAATAAAAAATGTAAAATATAAACAATAAAAATAAACAAACTTGCTTCAAAATTTACCTTACTCATAACTGCCAAATGGTAAATATATTTGTCGCTGTCGATCAATTGCACTAGTCTTCCGTGAGTTTTATATAAAATGTGAAATTTGCTGATTGACACAATTTTGTAAATACCATCAAATTCTGTTTATATTGGGCTTTTATCTATATTTACGTACGAGAATTAACTTGGTCTACGAAGGTTGCACATTATAGTTACGGTTATGCAGCATCTATTAAGATTGGCAAATAAATGTCATGTGGCCTGTGCGGTTTACCATTGCCAACAGCGTTGTAGTTTTGAAAGATTTATAAAGGTGTTCAATAGTTGTTAGACCATAAACACTATTGCTGGCAAAAATTGAAAATGAGCAACGTACAACTACGGAATAGACAACCTCTAGTGAGTTGACTTACCTTTAAGCAAAATATAAGTGATATGGGCAGGGTAAGCACAATCAGCATTATACAGACAATGTGTAAGCAACTTTCCATGAACCAATCCTCGTCACTGTGCACTTCCGGTTGTACCAGCAAATCCTGTCGCGTTTCAGCAGGTGGTTTCGAATTAACAACTTCTCGAAATTTGTCAGCTTGAAACCGACCGAAAAACCACTTTCGCTTAAACTTTCCGTACCGTGTTAAAGAAGGAGTTCTTTTCACGTGTGAGGAGACAGGGTGCTGATTAATAAATAGCGGATAATGCCGGAAAAAAGCAACATTTTCTTCGTTGTCTTTTTCTGTATCATGCCCGAAGGAAATAAGTTGCTGAATCTCCTCTGGTACGGTTGCGTCGTCTCGTGCCTCAGGAATCCGAGGCGGTGGTAGTTTGGATGCGGTCAAAATTGCTTCTGCAATTACAGGATCGGCCAGCTCTTTCTTTTTCCTTTTTGCTATAATCAAATCAAGTGGATCATTCGTATTACTATTTCCTGTTCTGCTCACAGCTGGAGCGTGCGCAATTCTATATGTACCGTTTCCTTGCATTTCTCTTAGTTTACTGTACGCGGGTCCGAAGCGAGTTGCTTCTTTTAGACTATAAATAGTGTCGTCTGTCTGTGAGACGAAAAGCAAATTTAGGTTTATGTGTTTCCGGGATTTTGTTATGACCAGGCTTCTTCCATTTGGATTTGGTAGCAGTGCTGAATCAGCTGACGTTATTTGTCTTTCAACTTTAGGTAGCCTCATTACATTGTGACGAGCTTGGCCAAGTTGGCACTTTCCAATGTTTGCACAATGATCAAGCAATCGTAGGGTCAGTAAATCGCTGGTAGTACTGATTGAATTCTATGATCCAACTTGCAAGTATAAGTAGCAGTTAGGCTGGTCAATCATAAACACATCATTGGCTGACTGACAAGTGAACAAATAGGGACAAGCTGATTGGTCCAAAAACAGAGTAGCTTTCTCTGTTTAACAGCTGATATGTAACCACAAATGTCCTTCGTTAAAACATGTTTGCTTTGATAATATTTCAATAAATAACGTTTTCTACACATAAATTTTTATTCCATTTAGATGCCAATTGCCACTAAGGAAAGTCTGTTTTGATGAAATGAATCTTAAATATTAACCAACTAGAATGCTCTTAACACGGCTTAAGTTTCATGCAACAATATTATGTCACGGTTGCAACAGTTTACACAACGTTGGACAGCATCCTAATTAGTGCACATGGTTCGTCGAGTTCAACTTGCGTTCGTAATGGAACAACAGATGTTTTCCATATTTCCCTTTAATCCAATAAACATACCTTTTGCATCCGTTAATTACCAATAACCATTACCAATAATCACCATTACCAAGTTGCAAATACAATGAAGATAATCGACAATACATAATGGAGTATAATCAAGCTTTGCTACCATTCATATCTGATTAATTTGCATCAGCTGACTTATGGAAAAAAAAGAATTACAGTTGCTAGATATTCAGTTGCATTACTAATGTTTACGGAAGGTTTCAAAAAATGTGATGTTTGTTTTAAGCCAGGTGATAAGTGAACATTGTTCGTAAAACCGTTTTCATAAGCAGTTAGACTAAAACGCGTCGATAGTAAAGCAGTTTTAATATATTATTGTGATATATTATGCGTTTTATTTATCGGAAGCATTTAATGTATGCAATAAAGAAGTAGAAACACCAACTGTTTGACTGATAAGCAGTGCTTATCATTTTACTTTGGCGCTGAATGTACAACAAATCCGAGGTAGCCGTTGTTCGCTACCTATCGATTTCGCAAACTTTTGCAAACACTTACAGTCAATTTCCTCTTTTCGTCGCATTTGTTTATACCTAAAACCACCTGTCATTCAAAATATAACCATCAAAATGGGCGTTTTTCTCTTCGTAAATTGCACCCCAAGCAAAAGCTGAACGCAAACGGGCACAGCAGTGCACGGAGAAAAACAAGCGATTTGTTGTGGAGAGGATAGCAATTCCCTAATAGCTGAGTAATCAGGTAAAATAAACATCATCCTTACCATATAAGCCACAGTTTGAAGCGAAATGATAGCCTTGGTGTTTCACTCCCTCACCTTCTCTGAGTTATTTGACTAGTGAATATAAGTGAATCAAAGTATTTACGTGTTTGCTAAACTTGGCATAATTTTTGCCAAATTGAGCGTAAGTTTTGTAATGTAATAGACGCACCTCAAGCCTAAAATGCTTAGATGAACGTACGTGGGCATTAATATCAACGACGTTTTAAATCCAGTAAGCATGGTTGAAATAACATTAAATAATACATTGCGTATCCATATAATTTAATTGCGGACAATTACATTGGAGCAAAGGCGTGCGGCAAAATTAGTCGGATCATGGGCATACAGATTATGATGGATGCACAAATCATTCGAAATATGATATATTCAAATACGCATAAACTGTTCATTGGTGTTTATATAGATTGAGTTGATGGCAAGCTCCCTCAGAAAAAGCTAGCTTACGTTACACAACCTTACATGATTTCAAGAGAAGGAAGTGCATCTAATTTGAGCGGGGCTCACAGTAAGTCATGAAAATTAAGCATTTTTTATTTGCACAAATGAAAGAAATTGTATGACATAAGTGTTTTCTGTTCCTTTAAGTTAGTCTTACTACATAACACAGTTGAATGTCCTGGCTTCATATATAAGTGCAAGCCGTAACAAATTTTGATTGAAATCTCAAGGTTGTATAATACCTAATCTCCTATCAAACGGTAGTGCATCTTCTCAGCGGTGTGCAACGCAAATATATATAACTCACAAAGTGATATATGTCGAATCCCCAGGAAATGCGAGCTGATGAATAATTAAATTAAAAGAAAGCATTTAAACTTTATGATGGTATATTCATAGACCATAAGCTACTAAACTGATTTCAATTAACTAACCAGTTTGTTGTTAAACCTGTTTGCTAATTATACTTTAGCTGATTTAAATTACAGTGTTTGTCAGTCCATTACTTTTAATTATTTCTACTGAGCACAACTATTGAGAATGAAAATAAAATTTAAAATCATTAGTAAACAGCGTTCGTAGGGAGAGCTCTTGCAGGGGCGGTGGATAAAATATTTCTCATCAATTGCAGAAGACAGTACATTTCAAACCTAACCCAAATTCAAAACAGAAAACATGTTATAAGAAACTTGCAATCAGTTTATGTTATCCTTAATACACGGACTTTTGGAATTTAATTCTATCCTTGAAATATTTGGTTTTATAGCAAATCTTTTAAGAAAACGAAAGATTTCTTAGCGTATAACAACAGCATTGGCAATTTATTTTTAGGTTTGCTTTCAAAAACCGCGCAGAATATAGCGCGATGAAAATCTAGCCCATACTAATATAGTTATTACTAAACTCCTTCTAACGCATCCGTAAGTTTTTCTACTGGTTTGTGAAGCTCAATGCAAGATAAATAATTTTTGACAATCGATGACACGCTGTGAAATGGTTGGGCTACCTTCAAGCCGTTTAGCATTTCTCAAAGTTAAAATTGATCCAAAAAGCTTGTGGTGGCAAATTAATGGTTTGTTTATTGTATGGCCTTTACTGAAATAAGAATCTAAGTGATACCATTATAACAAAGAGTATAGTTATCATTGAAATCCTAATATATGTGCCTTGAACTTGCCATGATTAAGGGGCACATTGATTTTCAAGATAACACTCCGCCGCATTCGCATAAACATACCTACGAAAGCTTTATGAGCTATGCTAAAAGACATTGCCTTACCCAACAAACATCATTGAAGTCTCATCCAACGTTTACACATTTGAAAGCATTGAAAAAATTATGTTTGGAAAAATAAATTTAAATCCAGGGTGTTGCTAAATCCCTTTTCGACCTGATAATAGACTTCATGACTGCGGAATGTTAATCATCCCAGATGCAAATTCGTTTACTCTTGTTAACCTTGCGTACGTTTAATTGCCTTTAAGACAGTGTACGTACATTTATAGTTACACGACTTTTGGCGTAAAGGCCGAAAACATTAGCTGTAGTAACCTATGCCGAGATCGTTTTCAAACGTAGATGTACTTATGCCCTAGGTCAATTACATTTAAATACATTAATCCAAATATTTGTGTGACAATACCGATTAGCAAATGTCCTTGCCTAGCAACTGGCCCATCCAATTTTGACATGGAATTTTTACCGACTCTTCTTGTCTACACATAACTTATTTATACATAATTATTATGTAATGATGGTAATACAATTTGTCATATATTTTCCAGCTTATCACGGATCACAACTTTCTGTTAAGCTTTATTAATAAACAAAGCATGCATAGCGTCAAGGTTTATCTCAAGTAAAGCGCTAGAAACCAAGCCATTTACGTTATGTATGCGTTTTTTGTTGAAAAAGGCTTATTTTACTTAATATACATATTATTTCAAAGCTACAGAAAACTACACAGGTCAGCGACCTGAATAGTTTAATTTTTTTCGTTTATAGTTATTGCGCGATGTTTATTAGGATTTTCCAAAACGGCTAGATAAAGGATCTTCAGAAATAAACAAATGTCATATGTTCCTTGATGTACCTGAATCTGTATATTATTTAAAATCGAGAGATAAGCTTGTCTTTAAACAATAATGTTTAAACGGATTTATTTGCATTAGTGCTTTCCTAATATTTGAGTTATGTGATATAAAGTTTATAGAAACTTTTATGTACTGAGTATTTTATCTGTAATTTTCACTACTTGCTATATCTAAACAGGTCAGATCGACGTTTCTGTAATCCGTGTTTATGTGATACTGATATAACAAACCAATTGAAGTCGGTTGATGGACATGAGTTTCTCAGACGTGAAAGAGTGTTAAGCAATAGTGGTGGCTGCATTCTTTACACAATTTGTACCAGATTATTTTGGACATAGATCTGCCAGTCAATATGTCTTCCTATTCCATTTAGTGTTCAATATATCTTGGCAAAATATAGACTGCATATACTGACCACCTGAACTCAACTATTGGAACAATATACAACTACTAATTAGATTAACTGCATCTCAGGGGGTGTTTTGCTAATTCAATTATTTACACAATTTAATTTCAATAAACAAGCAAGAACCGTCATAATGTGTATTCCCGAGCTAACGATACACGCCATCTCCGAATGAGGGACTGGTACCAATTGTTTCGTATAACATTTAGGACATATTTCAGCTTTTAGAAATACTTAAACTTGTATACTTAACATCCATGGTTACCCTTTGTAAAACGTCCTAATCGGAGAGCCCCGTGTACGCAAAAATCAAATATTCTTTTCTCTAAGTAAGGGATGAACAGGTATTTTGTAGGGATAAGAGAAACATTAAAGCTGAAAACATAGCTATTGAATATCGCGTCTAATTTGGACTAAATATATTCTATACATTGTCATTCTGAATAGGAGTACTGAAAGACGGAGGATAGTATTCATTATTGATTCAGATTCGCAAATAGGCCGATTTAGATAAAAGGGGCTATTTATTACTTTTAGGTGAGGCGAACATGGATGGTTTTTGTTAAATTGCCTCAGGCGTTTTGATTTTACTTTACGCCAATACACTTATGTGTGATGAGAAAATGAAAAATATAAGTTGGTAATGGGAATGAAGTTGTAGTTAACAGAATCGATTGGCTTCTATCTGATGCTTGACAATCTTAAAGAAGTCAAAACAAACTCATAACCGAGTGAGAAATGAACGAATGGTAACATTTAATATGGATGAAAAGAGTCAGACAACGTTTTTCTCCTAGTTCACAAAAGTTGGTGCAGCTATATGGCGAAGATTATTGCGTT